AATTTATAGTTGAAAGTGTAGGAAAAGATTTAGATAAATTAGGAGTTTGTTATAGTCATTTTATGTTTGATCAAAATTAATTACATTCAAAAGGATTAAACAATCAAAAGATATTTCAGAAAGTATAATACATCTTAGACGTTATTTATATTATGGAATTAATTAATTATTTTTTTAATAATGGTAAATTTTATGTAGATCATTCTTGGAAATTAATAGAAAAATATATATAAGTTTCTTATATAAGTCAAAAAACTTGTAATATAATAAAAGAATTTGATTCTATTATAATTTAATCACAATTAAATAATAAGATATGATATATTTGTTGCAATTGTTATGAAAAAGAAGAAGGGTACTTATATAAAAAATCTGAACAAGATAAAAAAGCAATTAGTTATCATATTGAAGGAAAACATGATTAAGATAATGTTTCTTCATTAATACTTATAAGTAATTAGATTAAATTAATTGCTCAAGGAAATAATACACAATTACAAAATAAAGTATTAAATTCTATTATGCCAACCTTTCAAGTTTTTGAATCTATTAATGATCAAATAGATAAAGCTATTACTCCATTACAAATACCTTTATATCAACAATTAACTCCAAGTTTATTTATTATAAAAACAATATTTAAATTATATAATGTTAAATTAAATAATTCTAAAATAATTATACCTGAAGAATATTTACAAATAGGATCTAATTTAGCTAAAAATATTAAAAATTTCATTTAGAATTTAATAATAAAAAGCAAATATTAGAATTATCTAATTTTTTAGATGAATTTTCTAAATTTTTATATTTTCTATTTGAAGGATTAATAAGTAATTTATTAAAATATAAGAAAATAAAAACAGATAAAAAATAAATAGAAATAAATAAATTAGTAAAACCACTTAATCAAAGTAAAATTAAAAAAACTAGTATATTTTTATCTTCTATAATTCTTTCTTTAGCTCAAAAAAAGATAAAAGTTTGGTTACCAACAATACTTTCTAGTCTTTGTCATAAACCTAGATTATTATCTTCATTACATCAAATTCTTTAATCTGTAAATATAATTTCACATACAAATCGTCATGAAAGGTGATTAGAAAAATAAAGAATGATAATAACTAATCCTACTTTATGTTTAAAAAATAATAATAATATTTGGAATCTTTGTGTTATTGATAATATTGATTTTAAAGAAAAATCATTTATTTATGGTAATATATATGATACAACAAGAACAAGTACACATGTTATTTTAAGAATGATATTTCAATTTGAATTACCAAATAATATTAAAACAATTAATGATGATATAATTCAACTTAATGATCAAATCTATTTATTTGGTTTAATCAATTTGCTGAAGAAACTTTTATTAGTTTTCAATTATTAATTGATCAATTTCTTAATTGTAAATAAAATGAAGATAATTTAATAGAATATAATGAATTTGATTTTAATTTAATTAATACTAAAATATTTGAACAAATTAATATTGGTATACATTGTTCACTACCACATATTGTAATACTTGAAGCAAAAGAAAATCCTAATAATGATGAAAAAATATTTGCTTCTTGTGAAATGTATATTAAAGATTTAGAATTAATTGAAAATCAACCTATAAAAATTTGTTGTGATAAAGTAATTTTTTGTAGAATTCTTAAACTTCATCAAAAAAATACAAGAATTAGACCTATTTTAGAACAATGGCATACTTCAAAAGATATGTGTAATTTATTTTTAGCAGTTTTTTCAAGTTATGGAATTTATAATCTTTAGGATTCCGCAATTCGATTTAATATTTGAATATTTGATTTGAAAATCAAATCAAATGCAAATTCAAATTTATATTTGATTTGATTCAATCAAATTCAAATCAAAGAATGATTTATTTGATCAAATCCAAATTAA